CATGCCCGGCTAGTTTTTTGTATTTTTTAAGTAGAGACGGGGTTTCACTGTGTTAGCCAGGATGGTCTCGATCTCCTGACCTCGTGATCCGCCCGTTTCGGCCTCCCAAAGTGCTGGGATTACAGGCTTGAGCCACCGCGCCCGGCCTAATTTTTGTATTTTTGTAGAGACGGGGTTTAACCTTGTTGGCCACCTGACCTCAGGTGATCCACCCGCCTTGACCTCCCAAAATGCTAGGATTACAGGCGTGAACCACCGCAACCGGCCTAAAATTCTTTTTAAAATGGCCCCTTGACATCTACCCCTACTTCACTCCCAATGTGTTCCCCACCAGGGAGAGCCCCCGGCTTCGGCGGGAAAGTTCAGTCGATTCCAGAACCATCTCGGAACCAGGTGAGCAACAGGCAGGTGGGTGGTGACTCTGAGCACCCCATCCCTGATACTTCTTTTTTGAGACACAGTCTCCCTCTGTCGCCCAGGCTGGGGTGCAGAGGCGCCATCTCAGCTCACTGAAACCTCTGCCCCTCCAGGTTTAAGCAATTCTCTGCCTCAGCCTCCGGAGTAGCTGGGATTACAGGCGCCCGCCACCACGCCCAGCTAATTTTTTTGTATTTTTAGTAGAGACGGGGTTTCACCATCTTGGCCAGGCTGGTCTTGAAGTCCTGACTTCGTGATCCACCCGCCTCGGCCTCCCAAAGTGCTGGGATTACAGGCATGAGCCACCGTGCCTGGCCAATCCCTGATATTTCTGATCCCCGACAGCAAGGCTGTGCCAGGCAGAGCCGGGGGAGGTTGGCCTGAGCCTAAGTGGTGAGACATGGTTTCCTGAGAAGGACTCGAGGTGGGTGATGGTCCTTCCAGGATGAGGACATAAAGCAAAGGTTTGGAGACTGGACCGAGCCAGTGTGCTGGGGAAAGACTGGCTTTTCCCTTTCAGAGTTGCCCAGGGAATGCAGCTATGACATCTACAGAGTGCCCAGCAGCCAGAGCATGGAGGATCGCGGGTATGTGCGCCAGAAGAAAGCCCACCCGCTCGAAACTCCTGCATCCCAGGCTGCCTCCCTCATCAGCGCAGTCCTGCCTGCTTGTATCCCTTGTGTTGAGTGGGACAATTAAGTGGGGATTTGAGGGAACCCAAGGCCTGGAGGGGGTGGGGGCTTTCCCAAGGACAATGCTGAGCCCTCCCCCTGTCCGCCCACTCTGGTCTGACCCCACCTCTGCCTCCCCTTGCAGGTACAGCCCCGACACGCGGGTGGTCCGCTTCCTCAAGGGCAAGAGCATCGGGCTGCGGCTGGCCGGGGGCAATGACGTGGGCATCTTCGTGTCCGGGGTGCAGGCGGGCAGCCCGGCTGATGGACAGGGCATCCAGGAGGGAGATCAGATCTTGCAGGTACTACCGGGGCAGCCGGCCAGCCCCACCGGTCATGGGCGTGTCGTGTGCTAGGTCCTGCCCTTGTTTGCTACAACTTGTGGGTCCTCCCCTTGGGTCCACCCTGGGGACTGTTGAGACCCCAGATGTGTATTTCAACATTTTAATATCCCCTTGGCTGTGTCATGATCTGGCTGATGTCACAACCTTATCTTCCAGGTCATGACGTCATCGTCCAGTCACAACCTCCTTGTCTGTGCCTTGACCGTATCCGGGTTCATCTTTTTTGTTTGTTTGTTTTTGAGACGGAGTTTTGCTCTTGTTGCCCAGGCTGCAGTGCAGTGGTGCGATCTCAGCTCACCACAACCTCTGCCTGCCAGGTTCAAGCGATTCTTCTGCCTCACCTCCTAAGTAGCTGGGATTACAGGTGCCCACCACCACGCCCGGCTGATTTTTATATTTTTAGTAGAGATGAGTTTCGCCATATTGGCCAGGCTAGTCTCAAACTCCTGACCTCAGGTGATCCACCTGCCTCAGCTTCCCAAGTAGCTGAGATTACAGGCATAAGCCACTGTGCCTGGCTAACTTTTTTTTTTTGAGATGGAGTCTTGCTCTGACACCCAGGCTGGAGTGCAGTGGTGTGATCTCGGCTCACTACAACCTCCGCCTCCCGGGTTCAAGGGATCATCCTGCCTCAGCCTCCCAAGTAGCTGGGATTACAGGCGTGCGCCACCATGCCCAGCTAATTTTTGTATTTTTAGTAGAGATGGGGTTTCACCATGTTGGCCGGGCTGGTCTTGAACTCCTGGCCTCAAGTGATCCACCCACCTCAGCCTCCCAAAGTGCTGGGATTATAGGTGTGGGCCACCGTGCCCATCCTGGGTTACAATCTTCTTTTTTTTTTTTTTTTTTT